TTGTCATGTTCTCCTATTAAAAGAAAGTATGAAGTCTACGTGAAAGAAAATGATCACAGAGAAAACACATAAACTAAATCTTTTCTAGAGAGCATTAATATGTATTTCACAATGAATCTTTTTATTTGGTACATTAGAAGAAATTATTTAATTTTATGGAAAAGCAGTATGTTTTGAAGAAATTTAGCTTTCATTGGTTACTCACAGAATTAGGAATAGGAATATTATACTAAAATCTTGTTACTTCACCTTATAAAATATTAGTTTCATTAATGCAATAGTTATCAACACACAGAGACTGCAAACACACCTAAACCTTGACAGCATTAGCCACTAGTGTGCTATTGATTGCTAATTATCAGTAAAGTAACATTTATAAGTCATTATATTGACAAAGTAAATATCTATCAGCTGTCATGTACATATATATCACCTTTTTTCTTACTGTTTTAGATGAACTTTCTGTGCTCCTATATAAGGCCAATTTCTCCATGCATGTACTATATCCCTTTCTCTCTCGTGAGTTGTAGAGTATCACTTCTGTATTTTTCATCCTATTTCATCTTCATTTCATTGAGTTTCTTATCAGCATACACACATAGTGTTTTTTCTTATATCAAACACAATCCTCTGTTGATTACACTTGCTTCTCCAGCTATTTTTCCACTTCCTTCCTGGTTTTTAATTTTTTAATTAAAAACAAAATTGTAGAGACAGAGTCTCACTATGTTGCCCAAGCTGGTCTCAAACTCGTGGGCTCCGACAATCCTCTCCCCTCAGCCTCCCAAAGTGCTGGGATTACAGGCATGAGCCACTGCTCCCAGCCTCTCCATTTTTCTGTCCCCCTTCGTGGCAAAATTTTTAAAAGAATTCTCTACACTTATTGTCTCCATTTTCTCTCTTCTTATTCTCTTTAGAACAAATACCCATCAGTCTTTGATCCCTACACCTTCAAAACTATTCTTGTCAAGGTCACCCAAGTCCTCCACATTAATAAATCTAATAGTTAATTCTTAGCCCGTATCTTACTTGAGGACATTTGATATGTTTGAATACTTCCTTCTCTTCAAAATATTTTTCTTGTGTCTCCCTTGCTATTCTTTGTGCCCTTGGCTGGATCTTTCTAACATCCCTGCCCCCTTGACGTTAGTATGCGGGGCTTCTTGTTCTAATAATCCGTAAACACTTCTCTTGTCATTTCCTCCCCTGGCTATATGCTCATCACTTTTTGTTTGTTTGTTTTGCTTTGTTTTGTTTTTGAGACAGAGTCTCACTCTGTGGCCCAGACTGGAGTGCAATGGCACAGTCTTGGCTCACTGCAACCTCCACCTCCTGGGTTCAAGTGATTTTCCTGCCTCAGCCTCTCGAGTAGCTGGGATTACGGGCACCCGCCACCACGCCTGGCTAATTTTTGTACTTTTAGTAGAGGAGGGGTTTTACCATGTTGGCCAGGCTGGTCTCGAACTGCTGACCTCAGGTGATCTGCCTGCTTCGGCCTCCCAAAGCGCTGGGATTACAGATGTGAGCCACTGCACCCGGCTATATGCTCATCACTTTCAAACTCCTATAGTGCCATCCAGGTTCTTCCCCTTGGTCTCCAGACTTGCATACTGAAATACCTGTTTTACATCTCCACTTTGGTGTTCCAAAGCCATCTCAGAGGTAAAATTTCCAAAAGCTACACTTCCAGGTTTTCCCTCCAACTGTTTTTCTCGAATTCTTTTCTATTTCCATTAATGGTGACTCAATCCTTTCAGTTTCTCATACTTGACTTTTCTCTTTCTCACACCTTATTCCCAATCCCTCTAAGAAATCTTTCAACCTCAAACTTCAAAATGTCTTTGAATTATGGTCCTTTCTTACCACCTCTACTGCTACCAGTCTGGTTCAAGAACCTGATCTCTTGCTTGGACTTTTGCTTCTACCTTTATGCTCTGGTTCTCATTCCATCTCCCCACTCACAATCTGAGGTCTATCACAGCAGCCAGAGATATCTGTTAAGATGTCTGCTCAAATATTCTAATAGTTATTGATTTTATTCAAAGAAAACTCCAAAGATCTTACAACTGCCTGCAAGGCCCTACGTGATTGGGTTTTCACTCATTCTCTGCTATTAACCTCCAGTTCCATTAATCTGCTCCCACCCACAAAGCATCTTTGCTTTTCTTTGAACATGTCAAGCACGTCTCTTTCTGTTCTCTCAGTCTTGTAACACTTACTCTTCTCACTGGCTCTTCTCTCAGTCTGTAACACTTCTGCTCAATAACCTCACGATTCATTCCCTTACTTCCTTCACTCCTTTGTTTAAATATAAACTCTTCAGACACGCCTTCCTTGACCACTGAATTTAAAATGACAACGCTCCTCAGAACTCCACTGAACTCTCTGTAGCTTATTTTTCTACATATCACATACCATCTTCTAGTGTAAATTACTTACTAATTGTGCTTGTTATCTGCCCACACAGCAGAATATAAGCTCGATGAGGACAGGTTTTTTTGTATTTTTTATAAGGTATTTCTAACGCAAAACAAAAATGGTGGAAAAGACAATATAGCCATAGCAACTTCAGGATAACGGACACATTTATGGAGCAACAGACTAAAATTAGATAGAAATGAATAGGTGGCTTTCGTTTTATGTTTGTAGCTTTTAAGTTTTTTAATTTTTTTTTTTTTTTGAGACAGAGTCTCACTCTGTTGCCCAGGCTGGAATGCAGTGACATGATCTCGGCTCACTACAACCTCCTCTTCCTGGGTTCAAGCGATTCTCCTGCCTCTGCCTCCCAAGTAGCTGGGACTACAGGTGCCTGCTACCATGCCAAGCTTTTTTTTTTTTTCCTGTATTTTCAGTAGAGACAAGGTTTCACCATGTTGGCCAGGCTAGTCTCAAACTCCTGGTCTCAAGTGATCCTCTCGCCTTGGCCTCCCAAAGTGCTAGGATTACAGGCATGAGCCACCGGGCCTGGCCTTGTAGCATTTTTCTTTAAATAAGAAAGGACTCAATGATAGTAAGTTTATTTCTGTTACATATTAATGGTGCATACATAGGTTTTCATCATATTTTCCCCTAGACTTTCTACATGTTTAAAGGTTTTATAATATTAAAAATAGTTTACTAAGAAAGAAAGAGATGGCATTCCAGGTAATTGGAGTTCTAGATGGCTGGTATATAGATTGAAGAGACAGATGGAAGAGAAAAGAAGGACAGAAGAGAAAGAAAATGGCCAGGAGTAAGTTATCAGTGTGATACTGCTGTCAAGTGTGCTAGAGCAGTGCTTCTCACACCTCAACATTCATAGCAGCCAAGGAGGATGGATTACCAGAATGTATAAAGAGCTCAAACAACTCTACACAAGGGATTTGCTTTAAAATGCAAATTCTGATTTCATAGATCTGGGACAGAGCTATGACTTTGCCCTCCTAAAACACTTCGGGGAGATGCCAATGTCCCTGGTCCTGAAGCACGGGTCACAAAACCCTAGAGTGTGGCATCTGTAACTTGGCTACATGTTGGAATCACCTGGAAATCCTAGAAAATATTGATGTCTACGTCTGACTTCCAAAAATTCTGATTTAATACATATTGGGATTCATCTGGCCACCGGGGTTTTGAAAAGTGATTCTAATGTGTAGCAAAATTTGAATACCCCTGCAGGGAGTCCAGGCCAGGTACCTTCCTGGTACACTGCCTCTTCTGAGGACTCCTTCATGATGCCTGCTTCCTGCAGACTCATTTTGAAGAGACTTTGGGCAGAGGTCACAAGAATGGACCAAGTGATGCTGCTTCTCAGGACAGACTATGTACCAGGTAGTGAGAGCTAATACAGACGTAGGCTGGGCGCCTGACAGGACTGCTCTTTTCTGAATGAGACCTAGCTGGTCAATTGCTTTAAGGACCTGCATCACAGTGATACACAATGTGAAAGTGGGAATTATGCCTATTTCTAAAGTGGATGCTCTCAGGGATGCTGCTAAGTGGCCAGATCTGTTGCTAGACTATGAAATCCATTATTTAATTCATTTGTTATTTTCACAATTTACTGACAGTCTGATACGTGCAAGACACATAGCTTAGTGGAGAAGACAGACTTTTTCCGGCCCTGGTGGGGCTGAAAGTCTATCAGTTATGACAGACAGTAAGCAATTTATTATACAATTGTGAATTTATTTATAATGTAGCAATTGTCATATGTGTATTCAGGAGTCTGAGAGAAAGTACTTTCTGAAGAAACAACAGATAAGCTTAGACCAGAAGGGTGAGAAGTCAGTGAGGATAACTGAGTATGAGACAGGGGAAAGCTGCTGGGGAACTCTGAATGTTATTCTATTTTTAGGGAGTTTCAGTGGCTTAAACGATTTCCTCTCTGCTTCTTCTTCAAGCACTTTTACATAAAACTTTTAGTAACTGTGTTATCCTGAATATTTCACTGTTTTTAAAAATTATTTTTAGACTGAGAAAGCCAACCCGCACTAGTTAATTGTTTCTAACAAGACCAAATGGTGAGATGCAGCAACACACACAGAACAGGTGAGGGCCACTGTCTCAGCTGTGCTTCACTGTGGTGCAGTCTGGGTGATTATTTGGAAAACAGTTTGAGTGGAAGAAAGGAAGTAAAGAATGTGAGAAGAGTCTGGAGGTTGTGAGGCCAGCCCAAAGGCAGGTGATATGGTCTGGCTCTTTGTTCCCACCCAAATCTCATCTTGAATTGTAATCCCTGTGTGTCAAGGGAGGTTCTAAGTAGACATGGGGTGGTTTTCCTTGCTTTGCTTATGATAGTGAGTGAGTTCTCAGGAGAGCTGATGGTTTTAAAGTGTGGCACTTCCTCGTTCTCGCACTCACTCCCTCCTGTCACCTTGTGAAGAAGGTGCCGGCTTCCCCTTCACCTTCCGCCATGATGGAAAGTTTCCTGAGGTCTCCCCAGCCAGGTGGAACTGTGAGTCAATTAAGTCTCTTTTCTTTAAAATTACCCAGCCTTGGGTATTTCTTTATAGCAGTGTGAAAACAGGATAAAATAACAGGTGTGTTAGATCCAGGTGTCTAAGTCAAATGCAATTTAAGAGACGAATCTCTAAATTTTATTAGGGAAGCAAGAATTGCAACTCAGGGCATACACACAAACTAGTGTCCAAAAAACAAGGAGAAGGTTGGAGGTTTTCTAAAAAGGAAAAATGTTACATATTGTTTTTTCAGAAAGTTCATTGGCACTAGTAAAATTCTGGCGAGCTGGCAAGCTCTGATTGATGATTGACAGTAGTGGGTAAAACTGGCCTTAGACTCACAGCAGGTTGTTTGAGTAGCTATGAGAGAAAAACTTGTTTCAGGTTCCAATAGGCAGTTTCAGCAGCTGGGCTTGTGGAACATTTAATTCTTGGAGCAGGTGCTATATGTCCCGAGCGCTTTGTCCCTGGTTCTTCTATTCTGATTTAGCTGAATATTACAAGAATGATCCAATTTGTACAATCAACTTTCACACAATGAAAAATGGTGGCTACTTATACAAAGGGCTTGGAGAAGGGATTGAAGAGAAGCCGCTAGTTTTGGGACGTGTAGTTATGGTATTTTGTGACTGATGGGATGTGGTCAATGACGGAGAGGAAGGAACCATGGAGGACTCCCTGAAGGACTTGATACACCTCAGGTTTGAGAAGGTGGTTCATAATTTCTTCATTTAAAAATTTATAAGCTTTGAGGAACTCTTAAATATTTCTTATTTGCATTTAGGTTAATTGAAGCCTATATTTCATAGATTGTTATGACAATCAGTATGTATTGTTCTTTAGGTCACTTTCTTAAAGCATGCATTTAGACTCAAAATCTAACCATAGTCCAGAAAAGGAGGCCCTAATCACATAATACCTTATGAGAATAATATGTTTAAATATAACAAATGAGTCACACTGAATATTTCCAGTACATTGAGTATTACACAGTGTAATTAATTTTGGTCCATCTGATGCCATTCTTTTCATCCTAAATTAAGTTTCTTCTCAATCTCTGTTCTTAAAATGTTAATTGAATCACTATATTTGACATAGATGAGTGACTTCAGGAGGGCCAATGACTTTTATTTCAAGCCTTTTATCTCTCAATGGCCTGAAAGTCACAAATGATTGGCTTTAGGGGATGCTGTCATTAAAAAGGCAGACAAAACAAAACATTCTTGCAAACATAGCAGAAGCTGGTTTTATGACTTAGAGCTACACATATTAGTAAAGGGTCTAACAACTTTGGTGCATGAAATTTAGCTACAGAAAGGACAAGCAACTGCCTCTGCTAGCCAGAACAAAAGCTAACATTGTGAGATTTCAGTGGCATAATATACGGGCTTCAAATAAGAGTTCTGGTCAGTGTGACATAAAGGAAGTGCTTCATTAGCTATCATAGTGCATACCTCTCAGCCTTGTACCACATGGCAGCATGCAGCAAAAGCATGGGCGCAAAGAATGAGCCATTCACTCAGGATTCATAATCTTGCTCTGTTTCAGCCTCCTGGGTTGACAGCTTTCAAGTTAAGCGTGGAAGGTTCTAAAGAAACAGTCTTGCATTCTTCAGTGATATGGTTTGTTTTTGGAAAATGCCTATCTAAAATAAGGAGATAAAATGAGTTTAGCCTGTGAGCTCCATTTATTACATTAGCTGTCTTACCAGGGCGGGGTGATATTTTTATGCTTACTTTGAACGCTTTAATAAAACAGTTTTACTGAAAGATTCATCTCAAATAAAATAATTTGCAATTTCTATGTCATTCAACACTATGTAATTATGTTAATATTCATTTTACAGTAAAAGCTTACATTCTAAGTAGAAAAATTACAGTAAAATGCTTTGCAAAGATACTGAGTAATGGAAAAATAATTCTATGTAGTAGTTTTCAGGAAAATCATTGTGAATTCCAATTCTGTCATCTGTAATCACAGACCCTTCTACCCAAGGAAAACACAAAAGTATGTAACTCAAATTCAAATAGATGGCACATTTCTGTGTTCATTTTATACATCATCTGTGCTATGAAAGGAAACACATTCTATTTAGAATCTCATTTATATTCATTTCCTAGATTCCAAGGTCAGTGTTCAATAGTATTGCCCAAAGGCTGAGGGACTTAACTTTATAAAATTGCATAAAGATGCCCAGAACCTTCTGAAATTGAACTACAATAAAGAGAATGTAAACAAGGCAGCTATCTATTGGGCTAGTGTCAGAAAACCTAGACATTATGTTGTTATCATAGAATTTCCAAGACAAAGTAGCAAAAGAGATCATACAATGCAAATTCATATTTAACATTATTTGTTAAGTTGCATTGCTGTCCTTAAATATATCAGCCATATTTATTTCTAATATAGCTGAGTCATGTAGGACTTGCATTTGTTTTGAATTTTACTGGATACTCAGATGGAATAGTAGGAAATCATTGCCTAATGCCTAAAAACATTAAAAATCCTGAAATATACCAATCTGAAAAGAACTGAAAAAGTAACTTTCACTTATTTTCAAATAAAAATAATACTTTCTTAAGATAATTTCTTACTTAAACATGAGATGTGAGCAATCACTCTGTAGGCTGGCCAGACAAGTTTATGATGGGGTCAGAGAATATAGCTTGTCCTCACAAGGCCCCCACAGACATGCACCTAAAATAAAGATACTTCTTAATGAACAGGTAGGTTCCTATATTTAACAATTTGTTTTTCTCAGTTAGAAAATCACCAAGTTTTCATATGAAAAGTTGACCCCAAAAGCAGATTGTGTAATTAGCCTTTAATCTGGTTTTCGTATGAACTACACATCATAGGTTAAATTGTACTCCTCCTCCCCCACCATTCTCAGGTTGAAGTCCTAACCTCCAGTATCAGAGAATGTAACCTTATTTAGAGATAGAGTCTTTAAAGAGAAAATCAGGTTGAAATGAGGCCATTTGAATGGGCATTAATCTAACGTGGCTAGTGTCCTCATGAAAAAAAAAAATTGGGCACAGAGAGAGGCATGGAGGGAGAACATCATGAGAACATGAAGACAGCCATCTACCAGTCAAGGAGAGAGGCCTGGAACAGATCCTCCCCTCACAATCTTCCGAAGGAACAAACCCTACTGATGCCTGATGCCTTGATTTCAGTGATAATATTCTTTACAAAAAAAATCTCAGTGAGATTATGGTTTTTTTTTTTAATTCAAAAAAATTGTTGGTTAAAACAGGGATGTTTGCAATGTCTAGAATCAAACTTTTTGTGCTAGTTCATATTACGACAGTTCATTTTACAAATTGACAAAATCAATTTGTCTACAATTATTTAGAAAAAATTCAGATAAATATTGTATATTTAAAGTGTTCTCCCCCCCCCTTTTTTTTTTTGAGACAGAATATTGTTCTGTCACCCAGGCTAGAGTACACTGGTGCAATCATAGCTCACTGCAGCCTTGTACTTCTGAGCTCCATCAATCTTCCTGCCTCAGCTTCCTCAGTAGCTAGGACTAGAGGTGCACACCTGGCTAAGCAACTACAGTCACACCTGGCTAAGTTTTTCATTTTGTGGAAACAAGGTTGGGGAGAGGTCTCGCTGTGTTGCCCAGGCTAGTCTTGAACTCCTGTTCTTAAAGGATCTTCCTGCTTCATCCTCCTAAAGTAGAAATTATTTAAAAATGAAAAGTCACTACATGTGAAAGATTTAATTTTACTTTAATTTTTTAAAATGCAAAACTGGGGTAAAGTGAATAATATTCTGGCAATATTGAAGGAAAATAGATGGCAAATTTATTTAAAATCTTTAACTGGAGAGCTCATTCTTCAGTAGTTATTTCTTCATCTGTCTATTCATCTACCTATTTACCTATCTACCAGAGCTTTGCAATAATAGCATTTTACAGGACAACTATATATCATGCAGGTAATACTGACTGCTTGAATTTTTAAGTTCACTACATTTCAGAACTATGATAAATTTTATATATGTTTCATAAATCCAAGACAAATATAAATATCCAATTTTAAAAATGGGTAAGGTTATTAACTGTATTTCTAGTCCAAAATGTGTTGGAGGTATTAGTCAAAGAAATTAGATGTTGAAGACAAAGCCATTACAGACATAAAAATTAAAAAGGAAGAGGCTATCTTAACTTATAAATAAGATGATTATATATTTGGAAAACCACAAGAAAAAAATCAGTGGAAAAACTACCAGAGACAGGAGTTACAGGTAGGTTGAGGGTGTGCCAACAAAGGAGATAGAATAGGGGATTCTGCACCTTGATTTTGGTGGTGGTTACAGAACCTATATATGTGTTAAAATTCACAGAGTGGTACACTAAAAGAAAGAATTGGGTCAATTTAAATAAAAACTTTAACAAAAGAAAATAAAAGCTAGTGTAAACAATCCAAGGACAAGTAGGAAAAAGATTGATACATTTGATATATGAGAGAAAAATCAAAATTTTACATGGCAAAACACAGCATAGACAAATAGACAAACTGAGAAGAGCCATTTGGAACCAAGTCACAGACAAATGAATAGTATTTCCAAAATATGAAATCATTCTTGAGAATTGAAAAGAAAAAACAAAATATCTATAAAAATAGGTAAAAGAATATATGGTATACATAAAAAGAAATGTAAATGGCCTTTACACATGCTTAAATGGTGTTCATTCTTACTGCTAATGAGAGAAATTCAATTTAAAATTACGCTGAGATATCATTTCTTATCCTTTAGACTGGCAAGAATCCATACATTTGAGAACATACCCTGCTGGCCAGGCTTTTGGGAACAGATGCTTCCATACATTGCTGGCAGAAATGTAATATGTGTACCGCCTATGGAAGGGGATTTGGAATTAAGCAGAAAACTACATATGTTTTCATCTTTTGATATAGTAATCTCACTCCTAAAATTCATCTTGATAATATACCTCCACAGATACAAAGCAAATTTTGATTTCTTATAATAGCAAAATACCCATCAAAATGTGTGGATAAACTACACTACATTCCTACAATGAAATACTATGCAATCATAGAAATAAATTAGAATGATGTTTATATGCTGTTGTAAAGTGGTATCTAGAATATACTTTTAGGAAAAAAAAACAGAAAAATAGCTATGAGGCAATGTGTAGAGTATGTCAATTTGTTTTTATAAGAAGAGGGGACCACATATGTATGAGAGACGTTATTTATATTTTCAAAAAATTATTTTGAAAGAGAAATCAAAAACTCTAAAATTATGATTATCTATAGGGAACATAATAGCAAGAACAGAGAATAAAACTATACTTCTCTTCCTGTTCCTTTTCACTTTTTCATTTATAAAAAGTATTTGTACTTTGGAACTGTTAGGAAGTAAAACCCTTGAGGACTACATTAGCCAAATGCAGTCGGTGGACCTTGTTTGGATCCTGATTCTGACACTTCACCTTGCAAAAAGCCATTTTTGAGGCAGTCAGATAAATTTGAGCACAAAATAATTATGAGATGATATTAAAGATTTATCATTATGTGCTAGATGTGGTCATAATGTGGCTGTTTTTAAAAAGGCCTAACTTGTAAGAGATACAAAATGAAGTATTTATGGACAAAATAATATTATATCCTAGAAAAAATGATGTATGAAACTCTAAATTAATTTTTTAAAAATCATGAGTGATGTAAGATCCTTTTCTTCACAGAAACAGCTCCTCACAGCGAGATTCCTGGCATCTTTAACTTAGTCTCTTAGGAGAAGAGCTAAACATTTCATCTTGCTTGATTCACAGAACCTTGCACAGTGGCACTTGCAAAAATTGGTGTAAAGGGTAGAATATTTTTGAAGGATCTGTCAATTTAATCTATATAGGAGAAACAGATCTCAAAAGCATTAAAATGTGCATAAATTTTGACCCATGAATTATGATTTCTGAAATTTATCCCAAACATATAGCTATAAATATATATAACGATTTAGCTAAAGGAATAATTTTTCATAGCAAAAAAACTAGAAATACCTTGTATCTGAAAGTAGTTGTTAAATGAATCAAATAATGCAAAACCACCTTTAAAATTATGTTGAAAATAATTTTTACAATGAATGCAAAGTTTCATTTTATTAATAACTGGAAAAAACTGTTCATAAAACCAAAATTCAATATAATCTAGGTTTTAATTAAGAAATTCAAGAAAGAACATCACAATACTTATCAATGTTTATAGTAATTCTCTTTGGGGAATATAGGCAGCTTCTGCTTACAATCAGTATTTGTGCTTTATCATTTTCTTTCTTAAAAAAATCTGCAGTAAACCTATATTATTACTTTTGCAAAAAAAAAATAGCTATTAAAGTAGAAGACAGCTAGTCACAAGGCAATTGACCAATTTCAGAAAAAAATACTAAAAACAAAGATGCAGAAAACAGAATACAAAGATAGAGATATTCGTGAGGTAAAAACTTTTTAAATGAAGATAAAGAACAACCGGTGAACCACAAAAAACATATTGAACAACTATAAATAAAATTATTTTTCATCATGAGTGATATAAGATTCTTTTCTTCACAAAAATGGCCCTTACAGTGAGATTCTTGTCACATTCAACTTAACCCCTAGGAGAACAGCTAAACATTTCATCTTGCTGGATCCACGGAACCAAGCACAGCGTTACCTGAAAAGTTCATGTAAAGGGTAGAATATTTTTGAAGGCTCTGTCAACATGGTCTCTCTTATACTTAAACTAGATTCCCACTTTGTACCCTGCACACCACTCGGAAGAGGTCCCTGCCAAATGCCAACTCATCAAGGAAACGGTTATGATATCTGGGAGGAGAATTGCTTGCCAGAGTGACAGATGCTGAAAGCTTGCTTTTCTCCCTCCATAGGAAAGGAAAGCAAGAGAGAAGGGGAATCACGAATTTGTTTTGACTTCTTCTTTCTGGGGTTGGCCTTATAGCTGCAAATGATTCTTGATCATTAAGGAAAAAGCTAGAAGAAAAGCCTTGGCCCTGCTCTCTGATAGGAACTACGAAGAAGAGAAAGTAGCTGCAGAACGGTAATAGGACCGGCATAGCAAGGTTAGGCCAAGAGAGCCTGATTGGACTCTTTCTCTTCTATTCTTCCTATCTCTCAATCCCCACCATAAGCAGCCACAGCTTGGTGCATGAAGGATTCTGACATTCCCAGCAGCCCCTGAGAGATGGCGAGAAGCTTGGGATTTCCCAAGGAAAACTATTACTCTTCATATTTGTTTAAAATCAAACTTTGACCTGTGTTTTCATGAATCTTATTTGACAAATATAGTACTGTTGAGATATTTTATTCCTTAGATAACACACTTACTAGAATGTAAAACTGTCCACTGGGTCACGCTGAATATTACAAAGAAATTAATTATACAACTTCCCACCCACCTTTATCTCCTTGTAGGATAAAGTTATTTTTAAAAATCAAGAGAAATTTAAGACACTTTTATTAAAAAGACAGATTACCCCAGACATTTGGCATGTTAGAAGACACAGATAGATTTTATTTAAAGTATAGCCTCCTTGTTCAATGTTATGGATAAGATATAGATAAAACGTGAATCGTGTGTAAATATGAATGTAAATATTCAGAGAATGAGGCAGAGGTTTGAAATAAAAATAAATAATGAAAATATTGAGCCCTACTGGAAATTACTTGGAATTATTCACAAATTACACGGTACCTCTTTTGTAAAGACTACCATTATATGATAAAATACAATTTGGGTTGAATAAATGAAGTTGGAGTCTCCTTATCTTCAATAGGAAGTTGGCTCATATACTTGAGATATGCCTTTTGAATATTTGACTTTAACTCTTTGCCAAAATGAACATTTGGGGAATATATCTGGCTAGACCTGAATAATACCCCCCCAATCCCCAGCAAACACAGGAAGAAAGAGAGAGAGACAAAACTGAGAAAGAAGGGTGTCTAGGCTCTTAAAATTATCCTAGACATTGACTAAGACCTAGACTCAAGAACTATTATGGCCTAGGAAAAGTCCATCTGTAGAGTTAACATTTTATAATTTCTCATGATAATTAATAAAACTCTACTGTGTTTTTTAAATAAACCCATTAATAAAAAATGTATCCTGAAGAATAGCCCAAGTTTGGGAATTCAGTTAGAAAAAAGGTTAGATTTCCCTGAGCTGACAGTACTTATTTCCCCAAATCCTCTGGACCTGTGTAAGGTAAGATTTATTTGTTCCATAGCCATTCACTCAACAGAGATTTCTTGAACACCTGCTATGTGTCTGCTGATTGCTGAACACATACTAGTCGGCAACACCGAGATGATTTCTGCCTTCAGCCTTCATAATCAAATACTCATACAATCACATAGTTGGACACTATTTAAAAAAAAAAAAAAGTCTGGAAAGAGTTTAGGACAGGGGAGGGTATTAAGCCCTTCCTGAGGAGATAAGACTCCGAGGAGAAGGATAAATTAACCATATTAAGAGTGAGGACTGGCGTGGATATGCCAGCCAGGGGGCACCTGCATGGACAAAAGGCCAGATAAACTGATTTGGAAAATTCAGGTGCTCCCCCTGCCCCCCGCCCCCCAAACTTCAAGGTCGTCAGAATGCCGGAGCACAGAACACTACTTCTTACAGAATGGTGTATTTTGACTTTTCTCCAAAGACATGGTCTACAAGGAGGTCTCTTGGCTATAAACCCTGCAGACAAGTTTTTGCTTGTGCATGTTGTCCAGCGCGTTTTGCTTGATTTTTAAATCTAGATGCATTTAGGCGGGCGTACACGTTTGGATTTGTCACAGGCCACCTAACTCTATTCGTCTCACACACGTGTGCCACCTGTCTGACCCCTGGGAAACAGAGTTTGCAAGCTTTTCCCCTTGACTACTCGACTTTAGCACCAAAGAGAAGCGGGAGTGCAGAAGAAAGGGCGAAATCGCCAACCCAGTGTCAGCAGCGCAGGCGAAGTGGGCGCTGCGGTGCGCGGAGGAAAAGGCGGGACGCCGCAGGGTGGCCAGTCACTGCGCATGAGCGGCCCGCGTTGCCATGGCAGCTGGGAAGGCGGCGTCTCCCGGAAGACAAGCTACGCAGAGCTGACGGCACTGAGAGCCATTTCTGGAGGGGCCCGCTCCTGACGGGTTCCTGAGCCAGTCTTAACCTGGGCAAAGGAAATGAGGAGCCGAGCCTGATGCATTGTGATGGCCATCTGCCCAGAATTGGCCCAAACGGACGAAAGTGCTCTGGCAAACCTTTCTGATGAGACTGAGACTTTGAAGAGCTTTACTGATGAGGTACAGACTTCCAGTTCATTCAGCTCCTCTGGAGGACGGCAGTCATCGCCCCTGACCTCTGGGAGCAAACTGGAGAGGGAAAAGCAGACTCCAAGCTTGGAACAAGAAGACAAACAATCTGAGCTTTTGGACTTCAAAAATTATGAAAAGAAGTTGAGTAAAAAATGGATCAACTACCTCAAGCGCAAAGACTCTGACTTTGAACGGCACCAACCAGACACCAAACTTCAAACAGAAATCACTCAGGTATCCGATGAAGAATTGAATGCCCTGCAGTCTTATTGCACCATGAAGATAAATTTGATTCATCATAGAGGGGATTCTAAGAAGAAGACGAGTGGCAGACATAAAAAGCTGTATGTTGGATTGGATGCAGAGGCTGCAGAGAGAGATGCCTTAAGTGGTACTGTACCCGATGAACTTTTGAACAGAATCTACTTTAAAAACATGAGGACAACGCCAAAACAGGAGGCAGCAGCTAAGCAACACATATCTTCTCAGTGTCCCGATTGTAACAGGAAAAGAGCACAGCTGGCCCTGTCTGCCTTTCTGAAACAAAAGAAGACTTTACTGGAGTCATTTCTACTTCAAGAGAAAATAGATGAACATCTTCATACCAAAGACTTTCTTACCCGTATTGGAGAAGCACATCAAGACTTCCCCAGGCTTTCAGATGACCCCAGAATAATCTGGAAAAGACTGACTGGGAAAAGTCATATCAGATACTCTGGTTTTAAAAGATCAGATACAGAGCAGAAGATGCAGCGAGATGGAAATAGTGCTTGTCATTTACCCTTTGCCACTTCTCAAGCCACTTACTCTAACCAAACCAGAGCTGGTGATTGTTAATGATAATGTGTAATGTGGATAGATGTCTTTGTTGTGTAATTGAGTAATTACCATAATTTCTACAGGCACTTGGGAAACTAACTTAAGACTTTACTATGCTTCCTTCACAGATTTGAGGATTAAGAACTTTCACTTTTTTTTTTCTGATTATAGAAGGCACTGTTGTGGTTGGAATAGTTACAAAAACTTTTACAAAAATCCAAGAGAGCTATGTTGGTAGTTTGGGCTAGGGTGTTGATGGTACAGAAGCAAAGTAGTATGGGGATGTAAGAGAAACTTAAGAAGTAATAACTGTCTTTGGCAATCAAATGGCTATGGGGAATTAATAAATAGATATTTGAAATGTTATTAAGTGTCTGACTTGTGCGCCCGGATGAATGATCATTAATTTCATTAAGATAGGAACACCAGAAGAGGATTGTGTTTGATGGGAGTGATGAAGAGTATGATTATTTGGACATATAAGGTGCAGTGGGGATGTGCACATTGACAGTTTGAGGAAACATTTGATTATTTATTTTTGCACTTCAGAGGAAAGGTATAGCCTAGAGGTGCAAAATAAATTGGCAAGGGCTGGGGGAAGGGTGGGGATCAATGGAACATAGCTGGAAATTGAAGCAATGGATTCTCAAACTCTTTTGGAAGTGACTAGCGTAAGAAGAGAAGCAGGGTTGATACCAGCTCTTGAGAAATGTCAATTAGTGGCCAAGTAGAGGAAAATCAACCTGCAGTTAAGGTTGTGAAAAAATTGTCAAGGGGATCAAAGAAATCAGGAATGTATAGTGTCATAGATGCTGAGGAATGAATATTTAAAGAAGGATAATTATCTAACCATATCAATCAACAGAGAGGCCATGTAAAGATGATTTAGTCATGTATTGGGCACTGTTGACCTTAGCAAAAGCCATTTCACTTATAGAAATGGGATAGACAAAGTAGATTGAGGAAAAATGTAAGTAAATAATGAATGGATATAGAGTACCCCTTGCAAAATTTAGCTGTAGGGGGAAAACGAAATAAAGCTGGGGGCAGGTGTTGAGTTTTGAGGGAAGAATGCTTGAACAAATTATCTAGACAGCCATTTTGGTCATGAAGATTTTATGAAACTTCTGTTGTTCATCCAAATAGGAAACAGTAAAGGAAACAGTGTTATTTCCCAAGGAATACCATGGCATTTTGAAAACCCATTTATGGGGAAAAATGTTAGATGGCATTCTGAGAAGTCATTTATTATCTATTTCCTCTATCAAAATATAAAACCATAGAATTAGTGGCATTACCTGGAGTTCGCTTTTCTACATATCTAACACCTGAATTATCTCGGTGAAAAACCAAATTGTTTTTGCAAAAATCAGCATAGAAGAGTTTTTGTATTGTACCTCAGTATTACTCTTGAAGACCTTCATTTATGTATAAAGATACTATTTTTTCCCATAAAATTTAACATATTTCCTCTTAGTCATTCTAAATGGAAAATAACCATTACCATTTTCATAATAACCTTTTATTTGAAATCCATATTATGTCATGCTTTGTCTTTGACATCTCAGTATATTCATGTTTTACATAATCAAAATTCTGAATAATTTTCCCTTTAGAATTCCCCCATTAAAGGTCATGCTCCACCCTTTTAGTCAACCAAGCTAGAAATCTGAGTCATCTTTTGTTCTTCCTTTTTTTTCAACTCAACCCCAAGCTAACTATTTTTCAGCAAGACTTTCAGCATACAGTTCCTAAATGTCAGCATACAGTTCTCAGAGTTATTATTTTTTAAATTTGTTATGTATTTATGATTGAGACAGGGTCTGGCTCTATCACCCAGGCTGCAATGCAGTGGTGAAATTGCTGCTCACTGCAGCCTTGCTCTCTAGGATTCAGGTGATCCTCTCACCTCAGTCTCCCCGGCAGCTGGGACTGACTACAGGTGCATGCCACTACCCCTGGCTACATTTTTTAAATTTGTATTTTCAGTAGAGAAGCTTCGCTATGTTGCCCAGACTGATCTGGAACTCCTGAGCTCAAGTAGTCCACCTGCCTCAGCCTTCCCAAGTGCTGGGATTGCAGGTGTGAGCCACCGTGCCCAGCAGCCCAGAATTATTTTTCTGACACACAAATCTGTTCAAGTAATTCTCTTGATTTAAAACAAAACAAAACTCTAAGTCGTTTATCTCTGCTATGGAAATATTTCAAAGGAATTAAGGTTACATAGTGGTTCTTTAACATCTGGCCCAACTTTACCTTTCTATTCTCATATAATCCCTCCGTCGTATATTCAATCCTCTCTACAGTACTTCCCTGAGTTGTTTTGTGTCACTATGATTTCTATGTGCTCATTCGTTTCACCTAAATTCTCTTAACTTCCCTTTTCTCCTGGCATACTCTCCCTCTTCTTTGTCATCTTCCTTCAGCTCTCAAATTCTATTGTCCTGTTTTTATGATCAAGAGTTGAAAGAATATTAGAAAGGTTAGTTTGCAGAGTCTCCCCTCTACCCTGTAACTATCCAACCTCATTCTAGACTAATCTAGACTAACCTCATTCTAGACTCCTGTCCTGCCGGGGTTAACTCTGTACTTGCTGGACCATCGTGCAGACAGGTATCTTGGGATGAGAGCACAGGAGGAGAGAATTCACGGTATCAGGGAGTGGACATTTACCCACCAGAAGTATTTCTGTACTTTAACCAATACAACTTTATTATTGGATAGGGGCTGAATATTGATATACCTATAAATAATGACTTACTCTAATTTATTCTGTATTCTTCCAGTGCTGTTTTATGTAAATACAAACACCAAAGATTGTTTATTATGTGTTCTCTTCAGCACCTTGCTTTGTTTTCCTTTTGTTTTTCTTGGGGTAAAATCTGCATAACAGAAATTTGCCGCTTGAACTATTATTAATAGAACCATTATTAATAGTACCATTCAGTAGCATGACATACATAATGCTGTACAACCATCACCACTGCTTTCAGAATATTTATCACCTCAAACAGAAACTCTGGACCCGTTCAGCAATAACTCCCCATTTTCCCCTCCCTCCGGTACGTGGTCAACTCAAATGCACTTTCTATTGCTATAAATTTGCTTATTTGAGATACTTCATATCAGTGAAATCATGCAGTCCTTGTCATTTCGTGTCTGGCTTGGTGTCAAGGTTCATCCAAGTTGTAGCATGTATCAGAACCTCATTTTTATAGCTGAGTGATATTCCATTGTATGTATATGTAATGTGTATGTGTAACATGTATGTGTATTCATTCATCTGCTGAGGGACACTTGCATTGCTTCCACTTTTTGGCTATTGTGCAGCTAATTAATGCATTTTTCATTTTAAACAATTAATATAAAAAGATATTTCTGGGCAATACACAGTTTCAAGTAGAAAGTTATCATTAATTTTAGACATATTTGATGACTTTCTAAAATTTTGAAATAGGATAAAAATTCTTAATGCTCAAACCTAACATATATATTTTGCCCCTGAATATATTCAAAGGGGTTGGATATCTTTTCTCCAAATACTTTAAAGCTGCACCCAAGAGATTCTAATACAGGTGAAATGGAAAGTTCATCAGATGAGGTGCTAAGAAACCACGTATTTTCATAATTGTTTCCACAACACTAAAAATGTGTCTAGCCACTTAGTTCATAATTATACAAATGTGTAATTTATATGATTATAATATACAAATCATACAAATATTTATTTAATATTTTGTCATCTAGATTTATTACCAAATAGACTAAAATTCTGTGCCTAGAAACAAATCTGTTTATTAAACAGCATTATAGTAACGGAACTCTTGAAACAGAAGTAAGTGATGATGCCAGACTGAGAGAAAAGTAAGCTCAGTCCTGAACATCTGAGTCCTTCAAATTCCAGTCTCAGAACTGTTTAGGCATGTTTGGGACACCCAGCTTAGAATACCTCCAATTTTAAGCGTGTTAGTTTGTTTCATGATGAAACCTAGTACAGTAATTTAGCTCATTCTGCAGCAACATAGTAAACAGGTTGAAAAGAAGTAGGGATTGTGACTGAGTGTGAGCTCTCCCTCAACTTTGCCTGAAAGTGACAGATAAAAAAATAAATACACAAATAGTTAATCTGAGAAACACAAAACGAAAACATAGTTGAACTTCTATTATCAGTTGATAATTATCCTTTGGAATGGAGAATTCGGAAATTTTCCAACTTGCAGTCAACTCAAATTACAGTGAAAATTGCAAACTTCCATCAAAGTGTCTAATACAATCATAAGGCCTAATTTTGATGAGCACACTGTGTGTTGAGGTATTAATTGATGTTTAGGACAAAATTTATTGTAGTCCTCCCACTCAAAATTTGTACTGGATGTCAGGACTAATGGTGCCACATATGCACCGAGAGAGTATGAAGGTTTATTTACTCATGTAATGAGGGTTAGGAGGGAGGTAGGAGGCGCAAGCTCTCAAGCAGATCTGAAAATGGCTTGAAAGTGAGGAAAGAGACTAGCATGACTTTCATTATAATTAGGGTGTGGGGCTTAGGGGAGGATTCTCACATCTGGACTGGGGCTTGGGTATTTTGAATGTCCTGCCACACCAAATAAGGGAGCATAAGGGCTTTTTTATCAGCTAGCGCAGATATGGGGCAGAAGAGTGGGGCTTGAAAGCTTTCAGCTGTTAAACATGAAAACGATGGAGTCCTAGTTTTTATTACACTTTATCCCTGATGCTTGACTGATGGCTGAAATACATCATGTTTCATTTAATTAAATTTTAGCTTCAGTGTACCATAACAGTGCTCTCTCAGGCCTGTCACCTGAAACTGGTAAGGGCAGCAAAAGTTCACTGAACACCTTGTTTGAGAGCCCAGCATTGTGTATTTTGAGAAGTAAAATGAGTGCCTTGGTCATTATGAACAATATCTGGAGTTCTGAAGGGTATAAAGGAAGACTTTGTATTGTGGTTTTAGTATGCACTAAGACATGTGTAACTTTAACGTATTTTGAGTATCTATGTGGCAAGAGATTCCCATAGTTATTTCCCTCAAAGGAGCAAATCTTGGATAACTAGTTGTTGTTGCTACCGTTGGCAGAACCAGAGGGCTGGACCATTGGCAATAGCCTGTAAAAGTGCATAGATGGAGCCAATTGTAGCCCAAATTGACTGCCTGAAGTTCAGCTAAATATACTGGCCCTTGGATCCCACTCTTTATCAAGGATGGCTGGACTAAGGGATGAAAAGCAGCAGCTCCTCAGTAAGACACATCATGTATAGTTTTCATACTCTACGTAAAGTGTAGAAACCCCCATTGCTGTTCATTCATTAAATCCCAAGGGATTCCCAGGTAGTTAAGGGATTTG